TTCACTGTTGTACAATGTACGAAATATTGACTTGTTTACGATAATTTTGAATAATAAGTACAATCACTGCTCGCACTGCTGGCACATTTCACACATTTACAGGTAAGGTTCAAAATGCCGACCTCCATGCAATATGCATATTTCCGTGCGTCGGTACAGAGACTGCTCTACTCTTTGAAGCATCTGCCGAGTGATTTGACTAAATGCCATTTCGATCCGCTGCCTCATTTCTTCTGCGCTTTCACAGGACTCCGCATAAACAATATTTTTTATATGACCCCATAAAAAAAATCGAGCGGTGTCAAGTCTGGGGACCGCGCTGGCCAGGGTACAGGACCTCCCCGCCCAATCCACTGCGGGAAACGGTCGTTCAGATGGGAACATACATTTCGAGCAAAATGTGCGGGTGCTCCATCGTGCTGGAAAGTCATCCTGTGTTCCATCACGAGTCTCACGTATTGTGTCACTGGCAGGGCCATCAGAACGTCCTCCAAGTCTTCTGTTAGGAATCTTAAATAATTGGCCCCATTCAGACTTGCCGGCAAAAACACTGGACCGATGACGGCACAACCTATTATACCAGCCCACACGTTAATCCGCCACTGGTGTTGAAAATTTGATTCCCTTGATACGCGGGGATTCAAATGAGTCCAAAAATGTTAATTATGCATATTGATAATGCCCGCACGCGTAAATGACGTCTCGTCTGTCCACAGTACCGACGAAGCGAAGTCGGAAGAGCTCCCAATCTGGTCGCGGTACCAGCGGCAAAATGCGAAACGTGGATCATAGTCCGCTTGTAACAGCTCCTGCGTTCTTTGAAAATGGTATGGGTGCTGGCCATCATCCCGTTACACACGCCACACACTCATATGGTTCACACCACCAAAGGCTGCCGCAGCACGACGAGTACTTGTCTTTGGATTGCCGAGAAAATGTTCCAAAACATCTGCCTCGAATTCTGGGTCTCGTAAACTCGGCCGGCCTTCAGAACTGGAACCACGGAACGATCCACTATTATGAAGTCTCCCATAACCATCTTCCTGAAGCATTCCAGAGTAGGAAATGGTCGACGTCGATTTTCTGGGACGCCATCAATAAACTTTGCCCAATAAATTTGGCGAGACTGGCGCAAGCTCCCATCGGCTGCGCCTACGCACAACATCATCTCATAGTAATCACTATTGCTTAAGCGTGACATAGTTTAAATAAACACAAAAACGAGACACAAACAAAACGATGACACCTATTTAGTCGTCACAACGCAAACGGTAATTACAGACTGTTACAAAAAATAAAAAAATAGTGCCTCTGCCTCAGCGGCGGCACATCAAAGGACGCCGACTGAAACACAAATTTTGGAATATAGGGTAACGTTTTCATAATGTACCTACAGGATGAAATTAAAATTGTTACCATCCTTTTAAAATAAGACCCTTCTCATGATACAAATTACATCATTACATACACATTAAACGAATACCTATATCCTACGTATCTACGACCTTCAACGTTGCACTGCATACGCCTTTGTTTGTAAACATAACTCTAACCATCACCCATACCACTTCCACACAACGCAAGAACTGACTGGGTGATTACGGATATACTGCACTAAGGAGGCAGTCACCCATCGGAAACCCACGACGTCCGAAACGAAAGCCTAACACACTAACCACTACACCATGGAGGCAGTCGACTATAGGAATCAAATCCACGACCTCCGAAACGAAAGCCTAACACTCTAACCACTACACCACCGAGGCAGTCGACTATAGGAATCAAATCCACGACCTCCGAAAACAAAGCCTAACACTAACCACTACACCATGGAGGTAGTCGACTGTGGGAATCAAATCCACGACCGCCGAAACGAAAGCCTAACACTCTAACCACTACACCACGGAGGCAGTCGACTATAGGAATGAAATCCACGACCTCCGAAAACAAAGCCTAACACTAACCACTACACCATGGAGGCAGTCGACTGTGGGAATCAAATCCACGACCGCCGAAACGAAAGCCTAACACTCTAACCACTACACCATAGAGGCAGTCGACTATGGGAATCAAATCCACGACTTCCGAAAAGAAAGCCTAACGCTCTAACAACTACACCATAGACCCAGTCAACTATGAGAATCGAATCCACGACCTCCGAAACGAGTCTAACATTAACCACTACTCCACATCACGATGTATAAAATCAAATGCTGGCGGCGAAAATCAAAGGTGATATTTTTGCCGCCAAAGACTTGCGACTTCGCTACGATTACGTATCGCGTACGCAAGGCGACTAATCTTGATACTTTGTTTATTTAGGTAAGATTTTTTATGGTTTTACACTATTGCTAATTTAAACTATTCTAAAATATTTCTTTAGATGAGTAGATATTATTAGGAAGTAAGAACCTTAATAGGTTCAACGGATATTAATTATTTCAATTTCACCATGTAATAAACCCATACCCAGAAAGTTGTCGTGTGTAGATAAGTCAAATTAAGCGTAAGCCTGTTGTTAGAAACGTGCGCTCAGCAATAGACATATGTAAGTTAGTAAAGTACTATTTTTTGCACAAGGTTTAGTCCACTGCACTTGCATAGTAAGTACTGGTTGGAAACTTGACATTCTCGCATCTTTGAAGATTTCGGCAATTATCTCCGAAATCCAAGTTTTCTCACGATATTTTCATTTCCAAGCAAGTGATGAAAATTTATTTTATTTTTATTTTTTATTTTTTATTTATGGCACAATGTACAGACATCAGATACAGAAAGTGAGGAAAATAAAAACACTTAAAAATTAATACAACAGGCATATCTGTGCCCAATTATTACTGTGCTCAACATTCATTTTAAAACATTTAGATATACTTAAACAGACACTAAATCAATCATAAAAAAAAAATTAAATTTAATTAAAATTACAATAATTAATTCGTGGTCAACGATCAAAACTAATTTCTTGACGTTTACCGACCTTCAGGTTGCACCTTTACGATGAAAGTGTCCCAATACAAAATTTCAACTTTTTGGGAATACGCAAAATAAGATTCAAGTTGTGACATTTTCATATTATTTTATTTATTACTCTTGAAGTACTAAAGGTGATGGTTTTATTAGTCTTTGAAAATAATGAGGAAAAATGGAACTTTACAACTGAAAATTGTTTCTGATCATTTTAATGTTCAACAATTTAAAAACATAATTTACAAAAACTAGTCGCCAATAGGTCTTTTTTTTAACGATTTTTTTGTTATCATTTAACGTATTAAGAATTAAGTCTTTTTAATGTTCATCAGCTAAGCAAGATGTCATAACCCTTGATATTGTTTTGTGATCCCTGTTTCACAATTAAAAAAGAAGAAAGCCCACGAAACAAAAAAGTCAGTCCCTTTAAAAAGTAAGTTACTAAAAAATTTTTTCTTTTTTAATTATTAAGCGACGAGTAGAACAAGTCGTGTACCCGGTGGAAAGCGTCACGCCTGTCCATAACAGTAGCACTGCCGCTCGAAGGTTACTGCTACGACGTCCATCTCTCTGAGACATAGTTGACAAGTCCCATGTGCCTGTAATTTCACCAGCACCCTTACCCTTCAAAACTGTAACACGGTAAAGTGGCAGTACTACCCTGGACGAACTCACAAGGAGCTCTACTGCTACTAGTTATTTGTGAATATGATTTTCGGAACGAAAATGGCTCAAATGGTAATAAGTCAGTGGCAGCGTGTTGTCTTTGCAAATGCAGATTCAACAATAAATGCGGCGTTAATATCTCGACGCAGGAGTAGAATTTTTAAACTGAAAGAACAAAATGAAAGGGACCTTTATGGATCAGTGCTATTCGAGCTTTAATTGCACAATTTCATCTTCACCACAGTGCGACTAATGTAACAAAATATTTTTTTAAGATGGTTTTACGGTATAAACTCATTTTTTAATTTTTTGATTTGGGTCACTTTCATTGTAAGGGTGCGAAGTATTAGTCGGATAATTGCGTCATATTGCGTCATGCGTTAGAAGAAACATACCGACTGATTCGGTAGCCGCCATGCGTTAGAACAGTACCGACGGATAGAAAGAGACAAATTTCATTCATTAAAATACAATAGATGAATGCGTATTATTACATATGATATGGTAAAAAGAAACAGAGATAACTTTAAATATGTGTTTTTTAGAGGACATTAGTTTTATTAATGGATATTAAATGGAAATTTGTGTATTTTGTATGTTTGAAGATATGAAGTTAACGAAACCATATTACGTTATTATGTACTAAGTTTTAAATAATAGTTTTATTATGAACTAGTGTATTTTGGCAAAGTAATCGATAATATTTATTTTTCATTAAATGTTCACACGCATATTACATGAATAAAATAATAATAAATTTAGTAAATTATAACATAGTACCTAATAAGAATATGGCATTAAGTACTTTATCATTTACAATAACATGCCTGAATTTCACAATTTTTTCAAGTTACGTAATTTGGTTGTATTATGATACTCAATAGAGGTGTGATGTGACTATTTATTTTCGTTAAATGACATCAGCTGATCGAAACTGTTCATGGCGAAATTTCCATAAATAACGTAGTGTGTACTAAAACAACTTTGCTAACTAGTTTTATACCATTAACTGAATCCGACCTTCAAATATGACCACACCTTTCTGTTACACCCTGTATAAAATGTTATGAAAACTGGAAATCCCAAAAATATCATTTTACTCCGTCTTCAAAAAAGGCAGACTATAGCAGATTGTAATTTACCTGAACGAAAGGTATAGCGCGTACTCCAGGCAAAGTCCTGAGCGTAGGCAGGGCATCCAGTGCAGCTGATAGTAGAGATAAACGCAAAGCGTGAAGTTTACGGGTTTCGCTCTCTGCTTCCATGGTGCGTGACGTTGACGCCACGGGCTGTGTGTTCGATGTTGATGGACCCGCTACAAAATGTAAAAATTTTACTTTACACTTTAGGCATTTTAGCAACTTAGACGAATTTAAGTTTAAGGTGTAAATATAAGCGCGCGCCTATAAATATTAACATCCTAGGGCTCGCGATTTGGGTCGTTAATAATAATAATAATTCGTGATAATAAATAGTAATAATTAGTGTGTGATAATAATAGTAGACTATACTTCAAAATATCTTATCAAATAACACCAACCTGCTACGACAACAGGAGCTACGACAGTATTAGTAGGAGGCATCGTTCCCGTAGAGGGAGCCGATACCATCTCGCCTAAAACATTAAAACCATCAGTGATAAAAATGTTTAACGGTGCCAGTTTTTTTTTTTAATATAGAATGAGTCACATTTTTTTTCCACAAAAGAATTTCATCTCACCATATGCGCTGCTTCGCCCCGAAACTCCTCCAATGCTATCTGCACCAGAGCCACCGCTTTCAGAGCCGGCGGAACCTGGCGGTTCGGCGGGCGACGTTCGCAGCGTACTACCGTCTGTAGCCGCTGTGCTGCCTTCGTCATCGGAACTAAACGACATACCACAAATATATTGTAAATATAAAAATCGTGGCTAGTAGGGTGTTCTTATATCTTTGCTTTCTAGAATAGCGGCCTATCTCAAAAACATCTAATCCATCAAGAATATGGTTTAAAAAAACTGAGATATTTGGCACGAAAAGCTCAGGAATTGAACAACTCAAATAATGAACTATTTTGGTTTGATTAGATCAAGTAGCCAGCATGTAGCTTACCCAGGCGGGGACGCGGTGGCGTCACTAAAGCCAGGTGCCGGCGGGGGAGGGGCCGACGGCGCGGGTGGGGCGCGACGAGGCTGTTCTTGTAGCGACAAAGCTATTGCCAACTCTACCATGGTCTCGTCGTCTGCATCCGGCGGGATGTCCAGCAGGGCTTCTAAGCCTGAGTGAAAAAATGCACACATAATTTATATACCAGGTCATTTATACAAGGGCGTCGTTATTATGCATAGATTTTTTAATTTCGCGGATTGACCGTAGCAGAGACGTACTCGAGCCATAGCAGGGATGTACTCAAGCCATTATAGTAAGTAGAATGGGACAGACAACCATACAATTAATTAGCCTCAAACTAGGCAATTCCCTGCACTGAGTACTAGAGCCACGAAATTCAATCAGGGCCAGGACTCGTCCAGCGCCCGCAGTACAAACCGTTGGACCATTAAGTAGTGCTAGTTTACGACAATTTTTTTCGTAAAATTCATTAAATATTGTAACAAACCTCCATCAGGCGCAAGAAGAACCATAGGCTCAAGCGAGTCGTCGACGTCCATAAACTGTTGATCTTGTTGCTCGTCGCGGTTGGCGCTCAGGTCAGACTCGGAGACCACAGCCTCTGTGATGGAGCTCGTCGGTTGAGCTGTTGTAACTGATGAACCGGGCCCTAAATGTCATTAGTAATTGAATAATTAGTTACATATTCGTATCAAAAACTGCAAACATGGAATGATTAGCAAAAATGTTCGTTATCGAAAGTTGATTAAGATCGAATGTCTTACGCAATTAGGATAAAACTGTTGATAACAGTCAGTGAGGCAAGACTCCATACTGTATACAAAAACTTACAGGATATATTGTTACGCTTTATCAGCTACTCAGTATTCAAATGAAAGGGATAGTCTCGCGTTGGTTCCCTACCGGAATATGAGTCATAGAACACAAAACAAAGTTTTATAACAAAAATTGTTAAAAGCTAGTTTAAAATGAAAATACGACTAGCGAATAAAGCAAATATCGCAACACGTGAGGGAGAATCGAGCCTACAAACAGTCAACAACTTGAAAGTCGGTCTGGTATTCAGTGTAGTATCAATTCGTGTACATTTTTTAAACAACGAATTTCAAAAAGACATATAGCTAATATACAGTTTTTATTTATAATATTAATACAATTACATATACATCAAACCGTATTTTATAAACTTAAAATAAGTTTTTCCAAAAACAGCTAATTCATCGCTTAGCGCTGTGAACAAATTATTAAAATAAAGAAAATTTTGTGTTTGTGTGAGTGTGAATGGTGTGATGTTGCAGCATGAGTCAATGAATGATCACATGTCATCTTTCGTACGTGTCTTGTTAAAAATATATTGAGTATACAGCTTGGAGTTTCGCTCAGAAAAATCAGGCTGATCTTTTAATACTTAGGTAACTTGTCTAATAAAAAAGACTAATAATTTACGCAATAACTAAAATTTGTGTAAAAAAGTCATTATTGAATATTTGACCTGTTCCAGGTGTATTAGGTGGCGAAGGTATGTACACACGACGCCTCTTGACTCTCGGACGTAGCACTCTCATTAGCGCAGTTTTAGCGCCGAAGCTTATGCTTTGGTCTTCAGCCAGTAGAAGAGATAGGTAGATTTGGTTACCGAAGTCAATCTGTGGAACGGTAAAAAAAAAAGAAAAACACTTAAATATCTTTACAAATCAGTAATTTGATTGACATGGAAAATGTTTTGATCCCATATTAACGAAAGAAAGGTCATTAACCGACGAGCGTGTATGAAAGCGTCGATGTATGTTTATGATGCGAAAATGTGTGTTAGGGCTCTTTTATTCGACACGAATTTCATCGGAGACCGCGTTGCTGCCGCGCACCGACCGCGTGCATCTAACTGTCATGGCAAAGTATTATTTATCTTTTTCGTTTTACATTAAGCGAGGGTCTCGGGCGCGCGGGCGAGTTTGGCTTGTCTTTAATCTACGCGCCGGCCAAGTGCCGTCCGCGCGGTTGTATTGTTCCAAGGAATTTAAATGTTGTTGTCTAGTAAATAGAATTCAGATTCGCCAGTAATGTATACAACGAAAGCGTGGTAACTGGGCGGTCACCGCGCTGCGGGCGCGTGAAAACTTTCGCGTCTTGTAACTGGGAGCTTATAGGTAAGGTTTTTATACTCAATGATAAACAATCACAAAATAGGTAGATGATACAAAATATCGATTAGAACTGAGGAGTCTGGAGTTCCATATACATAAAGTTCAGCAAGGTGTTCGCAGCTACATTTATACAAATTGCCAAAATTCATCAAGGAAATATAAATCCTGAGTCGAGTACGAATTTACAATATCACAAAGTGACTTCACAGGGACTACAGCGTGCTGCTGTGCACAGATAAAATTTAAAAAGTGAAGCAAATCTGTAGGTGAAAGACCTAAGTCCATATTTTGGAATTTAGATGTTTTTACAAACATTGCTTTAGAAGGCTAAAAATCACGCAATGATAAAAGACATTAAATCTTATCGTCGTTTGTTTTTTATTCAGCATGACATGACAACCTTAACATGATTTTAGATGCCTAATTATGAGCCTCATTCTCTTTGAAATGCTATGTGGTAAAAAATACTATTATTGGTCACTTAGGTGGCACAAAACGGCGGACGGGAAGGCGGCGGACATTAAATTTATCAATGTATATTTTACGCTATTTCAATAGTCATAAGGTATAAATTGTAATACTCTCGAGACCGACCTCGGAGCATCACGGCGCATTTCTCTCTGCGTCTCAGAGCATTGAAATTTATATGTTATTTAAAATGTAATAATTTACAATAGTAAATGTAGTATACCTTGATAAATTTTATGTCCTCTGCCTTGCCATCCGCCAGATTCGTTGGCCCTTCAGGTTCTTACACACCTAAATAAATATCACATCCCATACCTAAAAAGATACTTACACAATCAGGATCGGCATTAAGTTGGAAAGCGTGTACAGTATCAGCCAATGCATGCAACGTATGGTCAGCGTGACGTAAACCATAGCTCAGTATGCCTGGTGCGCCGCCCGTAGCGGACCGACAGGCGGCCAAGCGCCACAGCACGCTGGTCAATAACGCGCATAGATGCGGCTCTTGATCTTTGACTTCTTGGTAGTCGCCTTTCCAGTAAGTCGACCATTCTCCTGTTGAAGGGAATTTTATCCAGTTAACGATTATATTGTGTGAGTATATATATATATATATATATATATAAAATAGATATTTCATACATTCAATTCATGTAATAATTCCTATTGTTAGTGATTTTTCGAATTGTTTTTAATTAAATTTTAAGTTATATACTATAATTTGAATGCCAACTAACATTACTACTTTTGTACCATCCCATCTCATAAAGCGGTTCCAACTGAAAACCAGAGTTACAGCAGACATGCTGTGACATATGCTGAGTTGGATCTGTATTCTGTATTCAGCTTATATTTGTATTCATTAATTTGTCTTGTTTTGTTCTGTACAAGTCTTAATCAGCTGAATATACGTTTCTTTCTTTCTTTATTACAAATACCTTTAATTTTTCTTGAGAAGTAAATTAGTGAACATTTCTAATGCCAAAACCTAAGTAATTCGTAATTATTTCACTAAAGGATAATTCATTTTAGGTTACTAATACCACAAAACACAAATTATACAAGGTTAAAGTTTGAAATAAATAAGACAGAAGGTTATATATTTATCCACTTGATAAACTAAATCACTATTTTAACAGTGAAGTAACATAGTGATAAGGAGTGTGGGGAAAAAATATTCAACACAAGCGCAGCTATTTTGCACGATTTAATCTCCATGAGCTCGTGAAGAAGCAAAAGTGATTTACTTCTATTTAAATTGATATAGGTTTCTGCAAAGTAACACCTGAATCTATAAATTAAATCTTCAAAGACCCTAAAAAAACAAAAGACCATTATCTGGCAGTGCGAAGTACCCATATACTTTTCTATGATGATCATACACTCAGTGCTCACCATTAGCAGGTTTTGGTGGAGTCGGAGCAGTGAACTTGACGAGATTGTTAGGTCGCGCCACAGCTACGCCCCTGGCTAGCAGGACGAGTCGGAAGTACGCCTCGGGATCTATATTGCACGCGTCTGTCGTATCCCGAAGCTCTTGTAGTGATGCGCATACGTATTTCAGTATTGCTTGGTCCTGGTGAAGAAACAATTTGCGTGATCGAATATCTACCTTGTCGTTCTCAATTTAAGAATAATATTGACGTGAACTTAGTGCCTTGCATATACAGGGTGGCCCAGAAGCGAGGTTCAAAACGAAATGAGGACGTAGGGTTGAGTATTTCCAATCGATTTGACTACTACATTGGGGTCCTGAAATTGATGGTTCAAAAGTTATTTATTTTTTTGTGTTTGTGGAAAAATCACTAAGGGCAAAATCAGTCAGGGCACCTGTTATCACTTCGTCACTGTCGTCACTCACTTTTGAAGTGATTTTTTTTGCATTATGTTTCTGAGATATGTACCTTCTGACAGAACTCTATTCATAAAACGAGCTAGCATAATATTAACTGCAAATAGACCTTTAGTGAACAATTTACTGTTCACAAAAACCTAAATTTTGTTTTCAAGAGAATTCCACCAAAATAAAATGTACTCCGGAAAGGTACTACTATAGCAGAAAAACTAGTGCATTTCATATGATTCTAACGATGTATAAGACATGGCATTTTTTTCTATAGTTACATTTATTTTAAATTTTTTTGGTAATGAGGAGTTTTTATATAAACGATTATCACTAATATCAGGTTTCTTACCACGGTATGACTAACCATTAACCAATAGAGCTTATGATCTTTGTGATGCACACCACCTACCACAGGAACAGGACCACGTTAAGACGGTTTTGCAACAGAATGGATACAAAATAAAAACATTTAAACCAATACACAAAAGAAAAAAGCAAATTGACGTACATAAACTAACAGTTTTTCTGCCCGATGTACAAGGGGTGACAGATAAAATAGCCAGGTTGCTAAGGAAGTTTTCCATAAAAACTGTTTTCACCCTCTTAACCAAAATAGGAAAAATGTTACGTTCACCAAAAGACCACCTTCCTTTAGAAACACCGGGTGTCTATAATTTTATTATAAAAGGTCCAGTATAAGAACACCTTTAGGATGATGTTGCGGCTGCCCCCGTTCTGTAGTGCGTTTCTGTTTGCAGAGGCGCGTACCGACGGTTTTGACGC